CTTAGTACAGTTCGCCCTAGAACACCACTGAATTCATTATATGTTTACATAGTCACCATTCTTTGGTGATTTTCATTTATATGTAAAATCCTTGGGGACAGAGCCCTGCTTTATGCTTTTGAATACATTCACTTCTACATATTTATGGGGTGCCTTCTTTGAGGCATTGGACTCCTCTGTGGGTGCCAGCAACTTTGGGGTACACAACAGGTCTCTGATAGATGCCTGATGGTTGATATCTACTCACCATCTTTCCAGTCACCATTACAAGACAATGGAAAGAATGAGCTCTGCTCTTCCTTTGTGTCACATTGCTGACGGTGGGAGCAGCTGGGAGCAGAGTACGGAAAGCCTGTTCTTTGGAAGCTAAGGAGTTGACTGTTCCCCTGTGTGGAAAGTGAACACGTTGAAACAGAAGCCCTCTGAGCTTCCTTAAAACCTCCAGATTTCATGGTCATCAGTAGGTGCTCCTAGGCACCCTTTAAAACAACTGACCCACAAAGGAAAATGTCTTGTAGGACTGAGTGGAATCCAGTGGAAAGCTTTCCATGACTGAGCTAAGCTGCTGCATACATAATGTGAAGTAACCTAGAACACTTAGAAGGATAGAGCATTGTTTTTGGGGTTTTTTTGTTTGTTTTTTCCTCTCCCATTCCCTGAAGGTTAAACAATGCTTTATCATTATTATACTTTGGAAATGTATTAACTTTCACTTTTTCCAATTTTTATTTTTATTGTGAAATATGATATATGTGAAATACATTTTAAAGCATATGTACATTTTAAAGACTAGTAAAACGAACGCTGGGGTGGCCATCTGTAAATGTAGTTCTCTGGGTGATCCTCCCTATGACCCACCCCAGATTCACCACTATCCTGACTGTCATCAAGAAAGTCAGGATTTGCTTCTGTTTATTATATTTTAAATTCTAAACTTGAAAGCAAAAATAGCTCAGTTGAAAAGCCTTCAGTCTTTTTATATGTATATTTTATTTTTTACACAAGGTAATACTAGAAAAACAATAGATACAACGTTATTGATCACTTACCTCATGCCAATGACTTTTCTGAACACTTTATACCTTGTAAGTCCCCATCAATTGTATGAGATAGGTGAGGAAACTGAGGCATGGAACTGGGAACGTGGTCCCACTGGAATTCTAATCCAGCCAATCTGATTCCTAAACCTGCTCTCTTAACCACTGCCTAATTAGGGTGTTGTCTTATAATTTGAAGCAATTTTGTATTTTTAAGACCTGCATCTGTTTTTTGTATCTTTGAATACTGTAACAAGTGGCCGTCAAGCTGTGCACTGTTTCTGCTGGAGCCGTGCAGCTGGGAAGCTCTGCAGGCTTTAGAGTTTGTTCAGATACGCTGGCTTCTCAGTGCTCGACACAGATACACAGTCTCTCAGTTTCTCTAAACCTAATTATATCTTTAGTATCGTCCATTTCAGAGCACTTCTAAAATGTTATTTTATAAATATTAGTTTTTTTATGGGAATTTTCAGAGAAAACCAACAATAGCCCTTGTATTTGTAGTGTAATGAATAGTGATATTTAGGTTAGAGTTAACTTACTTTAGTTTTTAAAGGAAAGGAAGAGTAGTGATTATAGGAAGTATTTTTCTAATATAGTATTTCAAAATTCTTTTAAAAATATTTCCACATTTGTAAGACAAGTAATTTTTGATACTTGTTTGGATATGATCGCCAAGAGATAGCTTCTATATACAATAGTTACTGACTCTAGTGGATTAATGTTTTCTTTGCATTGTTTGCTCTGAAAGCAACTAGCTAAAGTAACAAGCCTTTATGTTTAATTTTTTTTTTTTGCTTGTTTTGTTTTGTTTTATGAGGGGGTGGCAATTAGGTTTACTCATTTACTTATATTTGGAAGAGGTACTGGGGATTGAACTTGGGACCTCGTGCATGCTAAGCATGTGCTCTACCACTTGACCTACACCCGGGCCTCCCTAAATTTTAAAATTAGATACTGTTTCTGTAGAAGGAGTGCAGATTTACAGCTCAGTAATTCCTGGAACAAGGCATGTAAAGTGCCTTAGGATATTGCTAACTGCCAGCGAAGTTTTACCATGGCATGGAACTTCACTTATATAAACCTCATGTTCTTTGTCACTGATAAGCAGTTACTGGCATTGCGCTAATTTAAAGCAATTATCTTGGGCCCCGGTGCTGCTGTTTTCCTGCTGTATAATATTGGACTAGTCATTTAATCACCAATTTGAGTATTCTTCATCTATAAGATGCTGCTGACACCTACCTCTTTGTGAGAACTAACTGAGCAAATGTATATGAAAACTCGTCACACAGCATGGTATCCAGTAGAAGTAGAATAAATGTTTATGAATGTTCTCCTTCCATTATAATTGCTTTTCTGTGCTGACAAAATTTTTATGTGGTATTTATAAAATATGCTTGGTAATGACAAAATTAATGTTTTAAAAATGGTTTGAATGAATGCCGGCAGACTGAACTCTACCAATTAGTAATATTTATCATATGTGGGGGTTATAAAAAGCAGGATTATATTTAAGCACAGGGATGAAATAACAACTCCAGTGTATGCTACATGGAAGGACATTTTGTGGCTGGCACTGCTGCTCTGCAAACTACAACTGATTTGGCATTGCTTTTGTTTGCATATGTCTTTCTTGGATGATTGGGGGAATGCAAGCATATTGTGCTATTGCTTTTAGGTCATTTTATTTTTGGTGAGAAGAAATTCACAATATGGCTAAGGTTGTGTGTCCTTTATTCCTTGTTAAGCAGTTAATTAAGACCAGGATGTTATTTAACTAAAATAAAGACCCAGACACCAAACACATTTTAGGATTCTTGAACTCTACCTGATCAGGCTCTTTTATCCCAGCACATTCCCAAACCTCTGGAACAGTCGAATATCAACGTCTCTTCTCACTGGAGGGATGATCTAAAGTCTTTGCTTTCTTTGGTAGCAGGGAAAGTGTAGCTAACCCATGTGCGGCTCTTGTCAGTTTATACTGCACTTACACATTTTCTTGTTGGATCTTCACATCACCCTTGGGAAGGAGTAGAGCTGATGTTATATCCATTTTCAAGTGAGGACATAGGGGTCCCAAGACATTAGTGAGTTGTCCCAGGTCACATTGCTAATAACTGGATAACTTTGGGCTTAAACCTAAGCCTTCTGACTATAAAGCTAAGGCTTTTCACTCTTCCATGTTTTCTCATATGCCTCTTACAAATAAAAGACCGAGCTAGTATCTTATTAGATATGAAAGTTAATCAACAAGGCAAGTGGATTCCTAAAACCTTTCTGATTCTGACCGCCACACCGTCCTTTAGGGACTTCTCTAAGCCTGTTTTCTCATCTTCAGAGCACTGGTGTAAGGATTAAGTGAGAATGCAGGTAAAATGCTAGTATGCTGCCTGGCACATAGCTGATAACTAACAAAGGTTTAGTTTCCTTCCTTTAGCTTTCTAACTTTAGAGCAATTTTCAGGACTTGAGCAGGAGAAAATCCATTCTTGAAAACTTTACTCAACTTTTACTCTACCCAATAATAATAATAGCAATGATGATGACGATGAGAGCCGCTGATGACACTTACAAGCCTTTAATGTGCACCAGACACGCATCTATCTAAGCACCCTTACATATATTGACTCATTCAGTCTTCACAGTAACTATGAAGTAGGTATAATCTTTATTCTCATTTCACAAACACTGAAACTGAGGTACAAACAAGTTCCACAGTTAATAAGTGGCAGAGCTAGGATTCAAACCCAGGTTTCGGCTCTTAGGAAATACTGCACCAAGGACTAACATCAAGGTGACAGCAGCAATGCCCTTTCTTCAAGAGCTCTCTAATATTAATGCTGTCAGGTAAGGAATGTTCAGATGGCTGACCACATAGAATAGGTCCATATTTTAGGTAATCTAAGTTATCTAAAAAAAAAAATATATATATATATATTTATATAGTTAAATATAATTTTATATATCTCAGAATATTTTAATATATTACTGTATACTTCATAGTTTTAAAAGTTTAAAAAAACTGCTAAAGAGAATATTAATAAATATAAACCAGATAAAAATTTAACCAAGATTATACCCTTTTCAGCAAGGTCAGTCATGTTGCCCATTCCAAAATATGAACATTTATTATCCTATGTTGTACCTCGTCTGTAACTTCCAGTCCTGGAGGGCAGCAATAGCACTGGGATCTTGACAGTATTCTGCAAGGAACCATCCACCCTAGGGGACTAGACATGAGGGGTGGGGTACCCTATAGAGGGAACATATTTTCACAAAGAAAGTTCCTTCTAAGAGGAATTCTTATGTTAATTATTAGGATGACAAAATAGAGAGTTTTTCATATTGTTCTATGGTGGCATACTGTACTAATCTCAAGCTTATTGAGTCCTGCCTCCTGAATAAAGTGTCAGAAACTTAAAAGATTATTATGCATGTAATTTGTCCAAGTTCTACCTTTGACCAGTGCAATGTTCTTGTGTATAGAATGTGTGCCGCTTACCTAAGTCATGAACCCACCTAACACAAAGAGTTCACTTCCTGGCATCTTTCATTATTATGTATTTCACTTAGGCAAAAAGAATTTTAGCTTTTGAATCTCGATTATTTTTTATTACCATGAATTTGTTTCTGCTTTTCTGACAATTTGGGATTATATGCAAAGACAATGTATAATCTTTAAAACCTAAAACAAATGCAGAAGTGCAATTTTCAGGAAGTAGGTCTTTCATACTTCCATCTATGGGTCAGTCTATTCATAAGTGACAATCTTTGGTTGCTCTTAGCTGAGAAAAATCACATCCTTTTTCACTCCTTTACCTCAATTTTGAGGGCATGTGGGGGAGTTCACTAAACTGCACTGTAAAATGCTGAGCCTGTTTTTTAATTTATAAAGTTCATGAAGCTGCCTTTCTCTTGCTGCATATCACCCCGACCTTACAGATTTATTCTAACCCTGTAGGTAAGAGAGAAGAGGAAACCTAACCAATGGCTGTGGAGTAATATGGAGGAAGATGGGAAAAACTTATTTAATGGGTAAGAAACAAAACTGTAATAAAAAGTTCTTCATGAAAACTCCTCATAATAGTATTACGTATGACCAGTCTATAACAGGTGACCGAGGTCGGTATACTGTTAGGGAGAGTGATCAGTCACTAGCTTTGTCTTATTGCCATTCTGAGCTTTCACCATTCTCTTCCTTCCTACCTGTGTGAACTTTTCAGTACAATTAATTAACTAAAGCTAAGAGGGGACACAGCCATATTTGAAGATAAAGATGGGGCATGGAGACCAGCACCCATACTGAAACTAGTCGAGGGTAGGTCTTGAAGCTTGCTGTGTGTGGAACAGAGTCTGTGTCTGTCATGACCTGTCAAGGGTACTAACCACCCCTTCTTGCTACCAGATACCGCCAGCTGCTGCGCATTAGGCTCACCCCAGGATCCAGTTCATCTAGGCAAGTGCAGATTGTGTGACAGCTGTTAATCAAATAGAATTCCACAATAAAAGGCGTGACTAAACTTGTGAGATATAAAATTTTTAAATTCCACAAGTCCATACATTCTTATTGTCAATAATTCAAACATTATAGATAACCAAAACCCCCTACCTGAATCTTAGCCCCCTCCCAGGTACATAAGTGCATGATATGTCTTTGTGCAATCTTCATCTCTGCCTACTGGTTAAAAACTTGGGCTTAGGAACCAGACAAATGTTTTCGACTAGCATTGTTAACTTGACATTTGGGCACGTTAATTTCTCTGTGCCCCAATTGCTTGGGTATAAGTGGGGACAATAAAATGCTGATCTCATAGCAATGTTGAAGATTAATTAGTTAATCCATATAAAAAACTTGGAATAATGCCCAGAATGTGGTGAGTGTTTGGTAAACGTTAGCTATAATTTTCATAGGTATCCCAGTTAGCATTTTTTGTGCCAAACTTCCACAGATGAATCTTTTTCTGATATACCGCAGGAGTTAAACCACCTTGGATAAGGTTAACCATGATGGCAAGGATTTTTAAATTTTTTCATAAACGTTTTCTTTTTGGCTTCCAGCTTCATTTTTCTCAGAGTATGCTGCTAGACTATGTGTGAGAATAGGGTTATACACTTCCAACTCTTGCTACGTATCTTATGGTGTAAAGGATGCTCACAGGTATATACTAATGAGCAACTGTTTTTGGGGTTGTGGTGGTTTGTTTCACCTTGCCCACAGAAGTACCTTTGTCAGAACAGGATGCACAATTCTTTTGTTTCTAGATAGCTATGTGACATTTGCTGTTAAGATTCCTTTAATCTATTCTGAAGGACAATTCTTGAGTTTCTTTTTTTCTTGTTTCACAGAATCATAATAGTTTGGAAAATGTCTTTGATACCTTTTCCATGACTTTGCACTTTCTTAGGTGCTAACAATTACTTATTTTAAGAAGGAAGGACACTAAAACAGCTGTCTCTTTTTAATATTTCCCTCCTGTATTGTTCTGGGGCTTTATTAGATTCCGATGGGCTATTCTGTCTGCTGTTGACTATTTTAGAAGACAAATATACAAAAACAGAAGTTAACATGTACTGAGTATTATGTGTCAGGCACTGTTTTAAGTGCTTTATTCATTTACTCATCATCCCATTTAATCCTGTCATCCGCTTACAAGGCAGATGCTGTTATTGTCTTCATTTTAAAAGCTGAGAAAAGTGAGGCACAGCTTAAATAACTTGCCCAAAGTCACATGACAAGGGGCAGCTTCAGGATTCAAAACCAGGTCCTCTGCTCCAGAGCCTGTGCTGTTGACCTGTAGGGTGCTGGCCTGGTAATAAACAGAACATTTGCCAAGGTGGATGTGGATTTAAATAAGATAATAAAGCCAGATATCTCCTGAAAAAGTCACCGTAACTCATCTGTTTCCACTTGCTTGTGGAAAAGAAAATTTGAAGTCATGTATCTTCTTAAGTTTGGGGAAAATAATGATGTAAGATGACGTAAGCTTCATAAATAATTATGTTCTTGACCATGCTTAACCATTTTGCTTCATTACAAGCTGTAGTAGATAGAAATCACCTGAATCTAGCTAAGGATCAGTACATGTTTAGAGGTGAATTGATTTGTAGATTACCATTTCGTTGCTATTTGTAGAAATGTGCAGACACAAAGATTGAGCTGTGCAGCAGTTTGGAACTGACTGGTAATTGGAAATTGCTCTTTTGTCCTATTAAATAATATCTGAATGACAGTCAGCAGGAAGTTGTACAAGAGAAGTGGCAGGAGAAAGGTGACTTATGGGTCTTATAATTAGAATGTCACTTATAAGTGATGGTCTAAAAAGTAAATGTAAATTAACAGTCGACATTTATGTAGGAACTGGAAGGAGTTATAGTATGTGGTTTTTGTTCTGAGGTTTGTCTTGTCAGAGAGACATTGGCTTTTCTTCACATAGCAATTCATTTCCTGTTGAAATACTGTGAAGTACAAAGAGTAAGCAACATTTAAAGAAACAACAAGTACACTGATAAAATGTCTTGGCTTTCCTGTAAAGTCAGGCTTTCTCCTCTCTCCATCTTTTTTTGAGCATCCCTTCTGAATGTTCATCAAAGTTGTGGCTCTTAGTGTACATATCTTCTACAACAGTATCTTAAAGGCTTGAGACTCTTTCAGAAGTCAAAACTATTTTCATAACAATACTAAAACATGGTTGATGTGCAACCGAGTACAGAAACAGCAGAATCGAACTGTCTTCCTTATTCCAGACATTAAAAAGATTTGCAAAAATGTAAAATAAGGCCACTCTTTTCACTAGATTTAAAGTGAGAATCACTGGGGTTTGTTTCTACATCAGAACATTACAGTGACCCCAGTGTGGGCCAGAAAGCCATGGTGCTCTTAAAGGAGAAAGGAGGGTTTGGTTTTAAGAAGGAACACCATCCAACCTTGCCAGTGACTCCACTGATATGTCCAAAATTCAGAATGTTCTTTGTGTTGGTTACTCCCAACTTTGGGAGGACCAAAAGGATCTTTAGTACAGCCTTTTATTTTTCAGTATTAACTGAGCATCTCTCCCCTCATAGAGCTTCCATCCCAGCCTGGGAGTCCTTTGCAGTGGTCACAGCTCCCTCTTCAGGGGAGTCTCAGAGTTCATGGTCGCTACTGTGGATCTTGAACTCTGTCTGCTGTTTCTCAATGACAAGTACTGAGGGTAGAATGGGAGTTACTTGACATTTTGTGATTTATTGATTTTTTTAAAAGGGGGGCACCAAATGGTTTGGGATTTTTTCAAATTTTACCTGGAACCCCAACCCAATAAAGCAATAAAGGTGAGCCTGTCCAGTTACCCTTACTGTAGTTGTTTTAATCTTGTTTTGTTTTCAAAGCTAGTGCCGCTTTTGTCAAGAAATTTAACTTAAAAAAAATTCATTACCAACTGTTAGATTTATTCTAATTGTTTTTTATTATTTGAAGAAAAATGTCCATATATGTGTGAGGTTTTCATTGCCTGGTGAGTTGCTCCCAAGACCCTGTAACTTGTTTAATAAACTTTTATACAGAAAGAGATTACATGGCTCATTAGATCGAGTCACTTAAAGATGACTGGAAGGTTAACTAATGTGACCATCAGACTCCTACTCAGCGGCTAGATGTCTTTCATATCACTCACCAATTTCAGCCATTTCCAAATGCAGATGATTGGGGACACCATTAGAATATTAATGGAAAAAGAAACTGACACGCAAAATGTGAATGACCGAAAATTGTCTCTAAAGATTATTTTAATCTTTTTAATGTCCAAGAGTTCTGCATCAGACTTGGCCTTCCAACTTAAGGAATTCTCAGTTGTAACAGGAGTGCCATGAAATAATTGCTTTCCTGCTCCTTCTGCTGCTTCTTTTGTTTCTTTTCATCTTCTCTTACATTTTTTTTTGATCTGCCATTTCACTTAATTTTTCTTTCACAGCTGTCACTGAAGTAAAGATCATCACCATTTCAAGGTTTTCTTCTGCCTATAATGCTAATAATTTTTTTTTAATGTCTGAAACATTATTATCCTTTAGATTTTCCTGGGAACATGTTTCCTAGAGGGGAGATTCATCTCAGTACTTCTCACTGTATGTAAACTTGAGGTTAGTCTGGACAGTTTTACCACTTTCTCCAGCTTCAGATGTCACAGAATGGTGAATCTGGGTGGGTTTTCTGATAACACTTAGCAGGACTTTGTCCAGTGAAGCACTCTGAAGGAGAATGTGGTATCAGAAGGGTCCATTCATATTTTGGGAGAACAGTTCTTAGGAGGTTGGACTAATTTACAATCAAGCTGTGAAGGAGTTGGGGTAGATTGTGCTGTTCCTTGCCGGAATCTCCCATCGTGGCCCTCGCTGCTACCCATGGATGGCCCAGACATCCTGGTAGCTGCAGGGTTCCCAGCTGGGAGGTCTGGGGCCCAAAGCCAGGCCAGGAGCAACAGCCTCTCATCAGCCTTCATCCACTCCCTTGGCAAATTTCTGAAAGAACATAATTTCTGAGTCCATGCCTTCTTTCTGCCTAATTCGTGTGTAACACTCCCTTCTACCTTCTGGCCTTTTGGAGCCCCTCAGACCCGTCTTCCCTAGGAAAGCTTTGTTTACAGGTCCTGAATGACCTTCCTGTTCCTTCCCAGTGTTCTGTAGACTAGTAGCCAGAAGCACACAACTACAAGTGAGTTAGTAAAGCAAATAATATAAGCAGGTTCACATGTAGTTTATGTTAATTTATAATGAAAAATACTGATGCTATTATAACAATAGAGCTATATAGAAATAGCATTAAAAATAAAGTGGCTTCTATTCTGTAGAACAGTATTTCTCAAACTTCTGACATTTGCACACCACTGCATGGTTTTTACCACATTCCAGTAACATCTGTAGAGTTACTTAATATTTTTTCTATAAACCAAATTACTTTTTTCTTAACCTAAAACTCTACTTGAACCTCATCCTAAAAAAAAAAAATACCTATGGAGTGATGAATTTTCAGTTTTTTTAGTAAAACATGCTGTAATCATATATGACTACTACATTTAAAGATAGCCTCTGGAGAGTTCCATGTTTGGATGAGACAGAGTAAGCACCCTCTGCCCAGTCTCTCACACTGAATGCAGCTAAAAATCTGGAGAGAACAGCAATTTGAGGACTCTGAAAAGTCAGTAGTAGCCGGCAGATTACGGAAGACCAGGATTTGAAGTGCCATCACGTGTCCCCTGGCCTGCACTGAATGCGGCCCAAACCTGGAAGTGGGCAGCAGCCGGGGAAAGAGAGAGATGCAGGATAAACCCTCTAGCTTTGTCTTGAGTGGGAAAGGAGACTTCTGACACTCAGAGAAAGAGGGGTTGAAACCCCTTCCTTTAAAAAATGTCCCCCCATTCTCTCAGGCCCCAGGCCCCAGGCCATCCATCTTACGCTGCTGGTGCTGACAGTGATGGCGGCAGCGGTCCCAGATGCCAAAGACTCCTCAGGGAGGGGACCTTCTTCTCTGGTTGGAGAAGCTGTAGTCCTAAAAGGGACTCATCATTGTTTTCTTTCTCTTCTTTGTCTTCCTGCTGTCTAGCCCTCAAAATATGGGATAGAATGCGATAACAAAAGCCCCATCTTTCTGGCTGGAAGACAGAAAAGGGAAGCTCTAAGGAACTGGAAAGTACCTGGTAGGGGAGCTCAGGAAAACAACCCCGAAGAGCTGTTTGTGAACTCATGGTTCACCCCCAGCAGCACGTGCATGGATCTGATCCTCAATAGCATACCAAAAACTGTTAGAATTGAACTATGAGGTAAATCACCGTTTGGGTCCTACACTGGCCACTGGGTAGTACTAATGCCAGGCAGATCCAAATACCTCTACAAAGGCTTTGAGTGTGGAACTGATAGTTAAATCATACCTCACAGAAGGGTTGGTTGGGATTTTTGACCTGAATCCAACCCGGTTGATTGCTTGCTAAAACAAGAATAAATATCAACATTTTCCTTAGAATTTAAATGAGCTTCAGGATCTCATAATATTCAAAATGTCCAGGATACAATATAAAATTATTCAACTTAGGAAAAGCCAGCAAAATTCAAGTAGTGTGAAAAAGACAGCTGACAGATGGCAGCACTAAGAGCATACCTCCCCCCTACACGTTGATTATGCCCTTCCCTTCGATTTGATTGGCAAGGCTAGGCCATGTGCCCACTGCTGGACTTGTGACCATTGCCAGGGAGTGCCATGCACAATCTAGGTGACACCTCACTGGCCCCACCCCTGGAGCTAGTGCTGGGGTCAGCTTCTCCTGAAGCACGTGGCCCTGTGGAGGAAGAGTGGCTACTCAGAGTAAAAGCAAGCAAACAAAAAAACCAACACCTGCATTCAGACTTCATGAAAACGTATTTAACTTTGCTCTCAGATTTTATAGGAGTTTTCTATAGGAAGGTACAGAGAGGATTGAAAGGAGATAATCTATCATAGGACTCTATAAATTTCATTAAGCCTTTTGTGTGTTTTCCCTTTGTGTATGATTCTGTTTTTATTTTTGAGGCAGATGGGTAAACATGCCTTGAGGCTAACTGTCATTTTAGCCCCGAGATAAATAACCGGTTGAAGAATACAGATGTAGTGAGCTACACCTTAGCCTTTGTAGCTGAAGATGACAGCCACTGGCCAGTAATGCTATCTAGCCAGTGGGTCCCCACCAGCTGCCTTAGCTGGTCCATGATTTGCAGCTGTAGACTGTGTGCCAAGTTTGGCATGGTGTGCACCTGCCATCCTCTCTCCAGAAAGAAATACTCCAGGTGCTCATGGATGGCTCCCTAGGTTTATCTGCTGCTGTGATTTCTCTGAGTCCCCAGTGGTTCTGTGTCATTTGAAGTTTTGCTTTAGTGTGTCTTCAAAGTGTTTTTTTTTTTCCTTTTCTGCTTGAGTTCTCTCTGTTCAGCTCATCACACAGCAGTTACTTAGGAATTTCAGAAAGCATGCTTGAGAGAGAAGCTGCAGAAAATGGTGGAGCTTATTAACATTGCAAGTTCTTAAAGCCTTAAGTGTGTCAACTTTTGAGTTGTGCAAACATTTTTCATATGAAAACTGAAAGAAGGTAGTTTTAAATTGTAAACCAACCTGCAGCATTAAAATGGCAGGATTGGATTGTGAGAAACTCAACAGTTGGATTCTACTTGAAGAGGGCAGTATTGTGATTTATATTGTCATTCTGATGACCAGGATGTATTTCTCATATATTTTTGCCTTTGTCCACAGTTCCTGGCCCACAGTTCCCCAAACCCTTGGGATTTCTTTGGTGTTGAATGATCAAAGTGTCCTTTGTAATGTTAATGTGGTGACTTTTGGAAAGCACCTAAGGAGGGGGCTGATTGCCAGTGGAGCAGACCTGTGAGTAGAGGGTAGGAACCTTCAATCTCACCCCCTGACCTGAGGGGTGGGGAGAGGGGCCTGAAGTTGAATCCATTCCCAATGGCCAATGATTTAATCATTCATGCCAATGTGATGAGGCCTTCATAAAAACCCAAAGGGATAGGATTCCGAGGGCTTTCACTTTGGGGGAACCAGAATGCTTCTAGGTGCCCCTGTGCAGGGCCCCAGGTTCCACAGGTACAGAAGTCCCTTTGGGACCTCGCCCTGTGTATCTCTTCCCCTGGTTGTTGATTCATATCCTTTAAAATCCTTTGTGATAAATTGGTAATCTAGTGAGTAAACAGGTCTTCCTGAGTTCTTTGAGCCATTCTGGCAAATTAATGGAATCCAAAGAGGGAGTCATGGGAACCTCTGATTTATAACCAGTTGGTCAGAAGCACAGGCAACAACCTGGCTTGCGACTGCTGTGTGAAGTGGAGGTGGTTTTATAGGACTGAGCCCTTTACCTGTGGAGTATGATTTTATCTCTGAGTAGATAGTGTTAGAATTGAATTGAATTCTCAGACACTCTGTTACTGCCCGAGAATTGTTTATTGGTGTGGGGAAGCCTCCACATGTACACACGTTGAATTGGGTCCAGGAACCTAACTTAAGGTGACTGAGAAGAGACCAGAGTAATACCTATACATTATCTTTGGAACATTTGACCTACATGGGTCAAGTGGAAGAAGAATCTCCGCAGAGAGCAAGGTAGTCATAGTCTTAACTTTGTTGGCAGTGCCAGTTTGTGAACTAGAGCAAGTCACAGAGTCACTTTATATACTGACAGTCATTTCTTGAGCTCTGACTATGTGCCAGGCATTGCTGTAAACATTTTACATATGCTAACTCATTTAATTCTCACAGCAACCCTATGAGATAGAATCTGTTATTGTTCCCATGTTACAAATAAGGAAACTGGGGCCCAGAGAG